AACTTGAACCACCGACCTTGAGGTTCAAACTGACTTTGCAGTCCAGTGCATTAGCCTACAGTACTGTATTTTAGGAAAGTCCCTTATTTAAATTATGGGTATTGAATAATGACTTGTATTTTAAATGTTTGTTCTGTTATACAATATTTGTTTTTTTAAGCACTCAACTGCTAACTGCAAGGTCAAGAGTTCACAACCCCCAGCTGATCCTGGAATCCCTATACAAGGTTGTTATGAGTCAGAACTGTCTGGATGGCACACATCAACAACACACACATGAGAGGCATTCAAAAAGTTCATGGAAAAATAGAATTAAAAGGTAGTGGGACTTTTTCATGAACTTTTTGAAGCCCCCTTATGTGTGTGCATGTGTATAATCTCTTTCTTATGAATATTTTTTCCTTATTATTATTTTCTATATTTTCCCTTATTGAACATTCTATGGAAATTATTGACTCTTGTGTTCATTTAAGTTTGCCATCACTTACTTTCCTAATTCTTTCCTGAGTCATATGCATTCTTATTTCACAGCTCTGTTTTAATTCTAATCATAATATTTTTGATTGTTTATTTTTCTGATTTGTGCTTTATTTCAAAGTTTGAATTATTTAAACTATTTACTTTAGCTCATTGTAAAATATTAGGTAATAGTACTATGTCTTTAAGTTGTCAAAATATTGTTAGATTCATCCTAATAATTTAATTTTAATAAATCTGTATGATGTAAAATTATAGTGTATTTTGTTTCACATGTTTAAATGGGGTGGATGTTTCTGGGATATTAGAAGGAAATACCTAACAAGAGGAAGTAGCCATCCCAGTTTTATATTCAAGGGCTCTCTGTAAAATATAAAATATTGCAAATTATGGCCTATAGGTATAGTCACTTCTCTCTCTCAGAGTTACATTAAGTTTAACAAAAAAATATCTTCCTTTAGTACTGTGCCACAGTCCTAGAATTTCCCATGCTTCTACTATAATATGGATATCATATTTTCACACTAGTTCAACCTCCTTTGAGCCCCTTTCCATGACCTCCTTGAACAGCTTGTCTTTCACCTAGAGTTCATGCTTTGCTTAATTTGACTTCTGTATCCAGTACTGTCATTCCCCACTACCCCCCCCACGGCCCCCCGAATGATGCTCTATATTTAAGGATGAGGCGTTCTGCTCCCGTAAAGATTTACAGCCTCGGAAACCCTGTGCAGGGTCGCTATGAGTCGGAACCGACTCCACGGCACTTAACAACAACAACAACAACAACAGTTGCAGAAAATATGTAGCAACTGTGACTTCTTAGATTATCATCACAGCACTGTTGGTCTCTCTTTAT